ACCCTTGATAATCTGCGCGATGGCCGATGCAGGATGAATTTTATGTTTGAAGATGTCATGGTTGTATGTGGGCTGAGATACTGCCAGGGCGCCCGGACCTAGACAGGAGGACGATTAGGGTCCTCATCCAAAGCCTTTGGCTCAAGAGCCTGTCCGCAAGGCAGCGCGGAGGTGGCAATGATTTAGTTTTACAGAAATGGACGCCATCCCATTTCAAACCCCCAACCTGGAGGACCAGGAGACTGAGTTTGTCTGACCTCTCACCATTGACCAACCTGGTAAGAGTATCTCTAAAGATGCTCGGATCCATCACGCAGTATTGCTCAATGGGTCAATGAGGTACGCAAACCGTCACCCCACGTTAAGGTCCAGTCTCGTTGCGATCATTACGTTGTGGTCATTCACGTAGACGGAGAACAGCAGCGGAACTAGGACAGAGCCTTGCGGAACGCCGCTAAGTACAGCCTGTCGAAACGAAAGACTGCTTCCCTCACGAATACACTGTTCCCGTCCAGCCAGAAAAGCTGACACCCACTGGAGAGCGCGACCAGCTATTCCATACGACCTCAACTTCAACGGGAGTCGCGAATGAGAGACAGTGTCAGAGGCCTTGATGAAGTCAATGAACACCACATCCACCGCATGTTCACTGTCTACGGCTTCTGTCCAGCACTCACGAGCTACCAGCAAGTTCGTCTGACACGAAAATCCTTTGCGAAAACCATGTTGCTCGACGCTAAGCAGGTTAAACCTATTTAAGTGGTTCTCCACTGTATCTCGTACTAATTTTTCAAGTAACTTAACGACCACGCTAGTCAAGCTGACAGGCCTGTAATTAGCCGGTAGGTCTTTGTCACCGCACTTGAAAATCCTGCAGACAACAGCCTCCTTCCATTCGGTATTCAAGATACGGCTGTTGAGTGACTTCTGAAACACACAAATCAGAGGTCCACTGATGTGAAATGAAATGTGAATGATCCGCGTAGGGGTGGGCGTCCTCGCGGTATACTCAGTCCACTGAGTTCCCCTGCCAATTCGTGCAACAATTTTGGATGAACAGAATCTGGCCCAGAAGCCTTAGTTGGGTTCACCTCTTTTAGCAACCGGAGAACTTGGACTCCGTTACAGGAATTTCATCCAGACAACAGTCCTCAGGGACTCTTGGAGCTAACTCTTTACATGGGGTATTTGTCTCGCGGACAAAGACGCTTGAGTACTGCTTACCAAGCACGCATGCCTTGTCATAGTCGCTATAGACATGGGTCCCATCTCCTCGAAGCAATGGTGGAATGGGCGAGTTTGCACCACAGCGTCGTTTAACGTAAGCGAAGAATCTCTTGGGATTTTTCGAAGTAGTATTAGCTAAGCCCTTTTCATACTGAAGCCGGGCCAACCTAAGATGTAGCTTGCACTCATTTCGAACCAACCGATACTTGTCAAACGTGCTGTTCGGCGGAGCTGTTCGGTAAGCTCGCCAGCATCTAGACCGCTTCTTTAGCTGGCCCTTCCCCGCGGAATCTATCCACGGAGGCTGCGCTCTCGATTCCCTTCTTTTTACCAGTGGGACGTGAGGTGCAGAAATGTCGACGAGGTGAGCCTTAAGCTTTTCCCAGGCTATGTGAACAGTGTCGGTCTCAGATATCACACAAGACGATGACCTAGCTCTATCCCGCATCACTTGGAAGTCCGCGGCCCAAATGTTCGGATAACAACTGGTAGTAGCTTGGCAAGGCCTGATAAGGGTACACTGGAAAGACAAGCAAACGTGATCGCTAGCGCCAAGAGGCGCGTCGTATTTAATGTCATTTACAAAGTCAAGTGACTTAGCAAAAACAAGATCTAAAATGGACGGCTGCTGATTACTCATGTACCTAGTGGGGAGGTCCACGAACTGGTGTAGTGGTACCTGCACCGTTAAGTCCAGCAGTTCTGTACCGAACGATCTCAGCACAGAACTGCAAGATAGATCATCCTAACAGACCTCTGGGAGGTTGAAGTCTTCCAGCACCAGACACTTGTTCGCAGAGTGAGTGCGTATAAACTCTATGATTCCATTTCAGGTGCTCATAGGGCTTCTATACACTAACGCGACCGTAACCTGAACCGAGGAAGCGCAAATCAAGACTGCGAGTGCCTCAACAGATTTGTCGAGAGACTGAAAAACGCTGGTCCTCAGTACGTCGGTGATAACTCACATAAAGAGCTGCACCACCCCCTTGACAACCAATGGAGCGGTCGGCGCGGAACAATGCGTAGCCAGGCAGATATACTTCGCCATCTGTGATTTCCTCAGACAGCCACGTTTCAGTGAAAGCAAGTATATCTGGACGAGATTTGTCTACGAGCAGACCCACCTCGCACATCTTGTTCCTCAGGCTACGCACGTTACTAAGTACTACTTGGAGGGCTTCGGCACGACCAGCCCTGGGTCGTGCGCCAGTAGTATAGGTTCTGGCAGGGCGGAAAATGACCGTCGGCTGACCACCTGAAAACCCACCAATCGGAGACCTTGCTCGCCAGCTGCACGCCGGGCTTTTAGGTCTCTGATGGCTTCCTTTGATTTTAACCTATCCGCTAACGGAAGGTCTGGTTGCACACTAACGGTGGTACCTTTGAGCTTGAAGGCAAATCTCAGTAAGGCCCTGCGCTCTTTTGGGGTGGAGAGGACCACCCTAAGCAGACGGGGTCGAGGATTTGGTTGACCAACCGGAACGTTCCTTAATCTGATGAGCTTCCTGACAGTAACACCAGGAAAACCTGGTGGTAAAAGCCTGGTCACGCAAACTTTAAGCCAACCAAGATCATCAAGCATGCGCTCGGTGGGAAGAGCGGCAGTGGATTCCGTGACGTTTCTGAAAATCACACTGCTATCTGTGTAAGAATCGCCTCGACGAGGTGTATTTACACCACATGCTCTACCATTCACGCCAAACGGTTTTTTGACAGGAATCGGTGGGACCGAAGGCGACGGCACCTCATGTCTCACTGAGGGAAACGCAACACCAGGTGGTGTTTCCAACACAGGCGCCTGTTTTTTGAGCACTTTATCACCTTCCGGTTTAGGGGCAGGGGGTTTGCGAGTTTTCCTTGCCCTCTTACGCTTATTCTTCAATGTCTCTTGTACTTGCGTTCACTGAAACGTGGCTGTCATTTGACATGGACTGAATTATACGTTCCGGGCTACGCAATACTGAGATCTGATTGCCGCGGAGGTGGAGTCGCCTTGTATATCAGATGTGGTGTAAACCTATCAAACACACATACCTTTAACTCAGCTGATAAAACTTTTAAAGCTCTTGTGGTTAAACTCTGTACTGAATCAACGCAATTCAAATTCGTGCTGCTGTATAGGATCTATGATAGCGCTTCTAGGAGTTTCATTGACTTCATTCGCACTCACTCTACGAACAGACGCTTGATGATAGGGACTTCAACGTCCCTGAAGTAAATTGGCATGACCTATCTAATGAGGCAGCGACAACAGGGTTTATAGCGCGATGATCGTGCGCTATAAATCCGGTACGAGACGAGACGGCCAGCCAAAAGCAATGGGCAGAACACAAAAGTAAGCTAGGGAAAAAGTTTATTGGACGGGAGGACAGTTATCTAATGCTAAAAATGGGGCACCAGAAGAGAGCTAGCTAGGGAGAATGTCGTTGGCGCCGAGTGCGTTGACGGAACGTCGTTCGCAGTCGGGTCGTGGGCCAAAGGCGGTGATCGTGTTTGTGTTTCCAAGCAACGGGAACAAAGTTCCAACAGGCAAACCGCTTAATTCTTTAATGCATAAGAAAGCTATGATTTGAATGTATTTTAGAATAGTTTGCACAGTCATACGGGGGAATCTCCAGGTCACTACAGGTTGGCTACCGAGCTTGTTGACTTGACAGTAGAAGTACGCTTACGCCAATTTGTCGATCGACTCACCAGGTACATGGAGGGGCATGCTCCTTCCCTCTTGGACCTAGTTTTCGCAGTCGGTTGAAAATGTGTGTGACCTTGAATACGGTCCCCCTTTGACAGCCAGTGACCATACGTGTTTCTCATCCAAGTGTGCTCTCGTTAGAGACTACGATTCACGTAGGGTCCGGACATTTGCCACTCCGACTTTCCGTCTATTAGAGCCAAAGCAGTAAGTTTCCCATGCATCGTCTTGTCGGATGATGATCTACAGACGGCTTGGAATACGTTTGCCTTTCCTCTTGAATAAATCACATCCCTTTGTCGGTGAAGAAGATTGCCAAAGCGAATCTACCATGGTTGAACTCAGTCGCGCACCAGCTGGTGAATAGGCGGACAAGCTGCTGGCGTATCTACCGGACAGTTCTCTCGGAATGTACTTTTCGGCGTTATCGTGAAGCGCGGAATGCCTGCAATAGTCATTTACGAGCTACTAGACTTAGCTATGAGATGGAGCTGGCTAACAGCCTCCGCAAATCTCAAACGATTCTTCGCCAACGTCAAAAGGCGTAGTAACGTTGGCTCATCTATCCCAGTGTTATTAGGCAGCGACGGCGCCACTGCCAACACTGATCATGAAAAAGCATGTCTACTCACTGCGCGGTATGCCGGGACTATAGTTCGGGATGAGAAATTGCCGCATGTTTATCTTGCAATGTGAGTCCCACAGGACTCCTGTTTAACACAGTTAATTTTGAGGTACAAGTTCTCCATCTTCTTCTGGGGCTAAATCCGTTGGGCTGGATGATATTCATCCTAACCTTTCTTACGAACTCGCAAGCAAGCTATGTGGCCCAGTGACGCGTTTGTTTCAGTTGTCGCTTCACAGCCGCTCCTTTCCCAAGGACTGAAAGGATGCTATCGTCAGCCCGATTTTTAATACTGGCGACAAGCATCGCCCTGCCAGATGCAGACCGGTAAGTTGGACTAGCGTACTGGTCAGGGTATTGGAGAAGTTGGTCAAGGATGTGCTTAAAAACCACCTGCGGGAGTTTGGTCTGCTCAGTCCACTTCAGCACGGCTTTCGCAAGGGTCAATCCTGCATGACTAATTTGCTAGTTGCATGCGAATGTTGGGCGGATGTTTTGGATCGGGGTCATGCAGTAGATGTAGTGTTTATTGACTTCTCCAAGGCGTTCGACACTGTATCACCTCTCCTCTCCTTGAAGCTTCGGTCCTATGGAATATCAGGGCATGCACTAAAATGGATCACCACGTTTCTGGAAGGGAGAAAGATGTGTGTTCGTGTGGGGTCTAGTGTGTCTCTCCGTCAGTCAATCCTCAGTGAGGTCCCTCAAGGTTCGGTGCTTGGTCCGCTGTTATTTTCTTTGTATGCCAATGAGCTGCCCGAACTGCTGGAGGTACCATCTCTCATGTTTGCAGATGACCTAAAGTTTTGGCACAGTGTCTAACCTCGATGGATCCCAGACTCTGCAACGGTCCTTCGATAAGCTTTGGGACTTGGCTGCTCTGTGGCAGTTGCCCATAAATTATGCAGTGTTCCATCTTACGATTAGGGCCAAATGGCCCCCAAACGCGTTATCTGCTTGACGGTAATGAATTATTCTATGTTTCCCAATTGCTAGACCTATGGGTCACGTTGTCTTCAAAACTTACATTCAGTGGAACTGGAGGAAAGCTACGTGCAATGGTTTCAGAATGTTGTAGATGATCCGCAGTGCATTCGGGACCATCACGGTAGCTATGTTTGTTAGGTTATTCTCAGCATTTATCAGGCCACACTTGGAATACTGCATCCAGGCTTGTCCACGTTGCTTGGCCAGAGGCAGGATGTCAGTGGAGAGTGTTGAGAGTTGGAACCAAACTGGTTCATGGACTACAGAACCATTCTTACCCAGAAAGACTACTTGCGCTGGGAATATTCTCAATGCATTATCGTCACCATCGAGGCGACCTAGTCTTGATCTGTCGCATACTTAACTATTTGTCTAGGCTTTTCCAACCGGCTCGGCCTCCATCGCTTCGAAGTCACTCCATGAAGCTACATAAACCTCGATCGGATGGAGTCCGGGCGGACTTTCGTTTATCACACCGAGTGGTGGATTCCTGGAATGCACTGCCCGAGAAAGTGGTATTGGCACCAACGATGAAATAGTTCGAGCACCGACTCGACCCTCTTGGCCTTCAATTCTTAACATTCCCCTTCACGTCCTAGCTTATTCGCCTTATTGAATTATTAAATCTGTTATGTTTTGCTTCTTGACACTCATTACTTTCGTACCTCTGTTTCTTATTTCACGCGGCCGGTGCGGCGCGGACTGCCAATGCAGGTCGCGTGGGTATTAATTGGTTGACCGTGGTGTGCTTTGCACGCGCTGATTTGACTCTCCTGCATTCCAGTTATCGCGGACGAATAATACCCTGGATCGACGACACGCCACGGAAGGAACATTCACGAGGATTTATCCTACTGTTCCAGTCCCACTTTAACTTGATCCTCGGAGCGCTTTTGCCACTCTCCGTCATCTGTGGCGCTGGCGCGACGACACTATGAAGGACAGAGACTACAACGAAACTGTCCGTTCAACCCTGTTGTACGGCTGCGAAAGCTGATCTGTCAGATGGGCAGACATAAAGAGATTAGCTACTTTCGGTCATCGCTGACTTCGCAGCTAATCTCACATCTGGTGTAAACACCACATGCGCAATGAGTTTATTCAGACTCGCCTATTTGGTACAGAAAGTGCGAGTGAACCGCTCATCCTCGTTGGATCATGCACTAGGCTGAGCCACCTGTTACGCACACCAGCAGCTCGGATGCCAGGGTACTTAAGTACCCATTCAGAACATCTGGCTTCGTCAGCTGGCAACTACCTGCCTTCACAGCATCGTTGCGGACGTGTGCCGAAACGCACCAGCAGGTCAGCACGTACATGTGTGTGGTCGGAGTTCACGCAGTGCTCTGAATCGAGCGACAGCTCTGTACACAACCTGTCCAGCGGTAGATGATCTCATTGTGAACGATTTGCGTTCATGGCTAGTCCGACGCTGGTGGGCATTGTGTCATTCTTCTGCGGGCACTGTGTCGAAAGTTGATGCTCGAAGGAAATAGACCAGCACCTTCACACAGCTGTAGCAACTTCTCACCGTTATCATTACGGGAGCCTGCATCGTATTTTCCGCCCAGATGCAGCTCATCATGACAGTTTTCGAACTCAGGCGTTCAGGTCACCAGCAAGCACCACTTTCTCTCTGCCTTTTCTGCAACGAATGAACTCGTTTAGTTTGTGATATAAGTCCTCTTCCAACGAGTCAGTGCTGCAGTGTATGCGGAAGTATACCTCAATGACAAGCAGGCATCCTTTGTCCCTGTGCGACTCCGAAGCTTTTACCGAGCTTGCCAGGGTAATGACACATCCGGCTGTTGATTGGAATCTAATCGATCACGACAGCGTTAGCCCAAGGACTCAAAGCATTGACCACACCGACTTGACCGGCATTTGCAGCTACGTCATTTTCGGACAAACGCAATGAGAATAGGCAGTCAGCGCCGCATGTAAGCGGATCGCAATTTAAACAGCTGGAATCTTGCAAGCGGGTTTAGGATAAGCAGCAGATGTCAATCGATAGGATTTCTTGCGTGCGGACAAATGCGGTCTGTCTGCGCACATTGAGGCATGCCAATCTTAGCTATGATCGAGGATTCCAACGGGAAACAGATGAACTGACATTCTCCACTTAGTTTAACATATTGTTATGGTCCGCGAGGTCGATCCGATCACATCATCATCATTATACACGTTAGCTGCGGGTGGAAAACACCTCCCGCACTGAAGATGCCACCTCGAATGGTGGCGAAACGTTTGCAACCAAGTTGCCCAGCTCGGAGAACTCCACAACAACTGAGGAAAACACCTCAGCTATTGTGCCGCAATACAAAAGACAAGAAAAGGAAAACAAACAGTTGCACGCCGGCTGAGTCCCCAGTAAAGGATGGACATCGTTCCGGAGACCTAACAGCTAGCTATCGTGCCTTAAAAAGAGTCATATTATGCCTAACGAGTGAGATCGTGATTGGAGGGGGATGCTAAGCAGGAGGGGGATGGACAAAGGAACTCACAACACAAACGCCATCGGTGCAGGCTCCAAGTCATATCAGCAAGTGTGTCCAACCAAACGTGTTCACCGTCCTTAGGACCCCAGCCAGGCAGCCGGGATGCACCAACCGACGCCAACTTCGAAGTGAGGGTTTTCGTCTCTCTCGACCAAGTCATCGCTTGGCCTCCCCTCCTCTTCCAACCGCACCCACAACGCTCAAACAATGCACGTCGCGGGAGTCGGTCTGCTGGCATGCACAACACGTGGCCCAACCATCGGAGCCTGATGCGTGATATAATAGTGCTGAGCGGTTCACTCGCTATTCTTGCACCAAATACGCGACGCCGAACACGCTCATTGCTCACGCGGTGCTCCCACCAGACATGAGCTAAGCTGCGAAGGCAGCGATGATCGAATATGACGAGCCTCTTTGTCTGTCGACCTGATGGGCCAGGTTTCACAACCTTATAGGAGAGTTGAACGTACGCCTGCGTTATAAACTGTCCTTCAGGGCGAGAGCAATGTCGCGTCTGCGCCACAGGTGGCGGAGATTGGCAAAAGCCCCTCGAGCTTTTGCTATACGGTTCGTAACCTCATCTTCAATCCCACGGGTGCTAATATAGCTGCCCAGCTACTTGAATTCCTAAACGACTTCTAGCAGATCACCACCAAGCGTTAGCGCAGGGTTGGGACCCTGTCAATCTTGGAGAAGTACTTTGCATTTCGATGGAGCAAAGCATAGCCCAAAACGATTGACAGCCAGTTCTAACCTGTCCAGTGCTGTTTGGCATGTTTGGGAGCTGTCACAGATTAGAGCAATATCGTCCGCATACTCCAAGTCAATAAGTCGCTCACCAAGAAGTAGATCCACACGTTCTAGGTCGTGTTCAGCGAACGCTGTTTCCATGACTTCATCAATAGCGAAGTTGAAGAGGAAAGTTGACAGCGTGCATCCTTGTCTCACACCGCTGATGATATTGAAGGGTGGTGACAGTTTGCCACAAACCCTCGCTCTGCCCGAACTATGCGCGCACAGCGTTTTGATAATGTTTACATATTTATCAGGCACACCTTTCCTCAGCAGACAGTCCCAAGGGACACGTCGATCGACTGAGTCGAACGCACCTTTTATGTCAAGAAACACGACAACGGTGGGTCGCCAATAAACATGGCGGTGTTCCAACACTTGACGCAGGGTGAAGATGTGATCGATGCAGCCCCGACCTCGACGAAATCCGACTTGCTCTTCCCGAATTCGGCTTTCACGAGTGCCAGTCAGTCTGTTAAAAGTGACAGTCAAGCAATTTAGAGGCAGTCGAAATCGGACTGATCCCTCTATGATTCCCGCATTCCAAACGTGAATTCCCCTTGAATATTGGGACAATGACGGAGCGGTTCCTCTAAGGTCGATGACACAATTCTGCGACAGCTCTGGACGAAATGTCTTCCAGCGAACACCTCAGCTCTTCTCGCCGTGTTCGCAGATGATTTGTCTTTGGACAAGCTGGCCGAAACAGCAGACAAAGTTCATGAGTGCTTTCCTAAACACGCAGTATGTCACTCAGTCGAGTCGACCGCTAACGCCGATCTTAAGACTGACCCGATTGAAGCCATTTCCGAGAGGTTATCAAAGCTGGAGCTCGCTATCTCTAGCATATATCGCTACAGTGGTAGTAGCCCTCGACGCCGCTCTCGAAGTAGACCTAGTCCCGCCAGAAGTTCGAAACGTCATTTCTGTTGGTACCATCACCGGTTTGGCGATGATGCAAGGAATTGTCGATCTGGTTATAACCACCCGAAGGCATTCCACAAACCGCAGCAGGGAAAGCTCCACGCCAGCCAGTAATGGCGACGGCTGCGTCTGGCCAATCTTGCAGTCGCCTATTTTACGTCTACGATTCCTCAACCCATTTGTACTTCTTGGTCGACACCGGTGCCGAGGTCAGCGTTATTCCTCGTGCTGCAAAAAAACGCTACCTACTTCCAACCGGACTGACACTGCAGGCGGCGAACAATACCAAGATCCATACATACGGCCAGAAAATGTTGACTCTTAACCTTGGTTTTCCTCCACCTTTTCCCTCTGTTTTTCTCATCGCTGACGTCCGACGCCCCATTTTTGGTATTGATTTCCTTACCAAGTTCGGCCTGATGCTGGACCTGCGTAACCGTAAACTGCGCGATAGTTTGACATCCTTGTCTGTTTCCGGTAGTCACCTCGATCAGTTCGATCGGTCTTCGCTTGGCATTGCCCGCCGACAATGTGTTCACCAAACTATTGCTGCATTGTCCTGCTCTTTATCAATTGTCTAATGACTTTTCTGAGCCTAAGCACGAAGTTACGCAC